CAGTAAGCGCAGGCTCCTCGCTGGGGTCGTAGTATCTATCCTCAGATACGGCGGCCCTGCGTGGGCTGCGGTACTGGATATTGACTGCCACAGGCAGAAATTAGAGAGTACACACAGGCTAATGTGCTTAAGGGTGGCCAGTGCATACCGCACTATCTCGAGAGAGGCCGTCTGTGTCATAGCAGGGATGATGCCAATCAGCCTTATCATTAAGGAGGATGTGGCGTGCTATGACGCGAGGACCGTTCGAGGGGTGCGCAACAACGCGCGAGTTGTGTCGACCGCGAGATGGCAATCGGAGTGGGAAAACTCCACAAAGGGGAGGTGGACTTACCGCTTGATACCTTTCGTATCAAGCTGGGTCAACAGGCGCCATGGGGAAGTAAACTTCCACCTGACACAGTTCCTGTCAGGCCATGACTGCTTTAGGAGCTACCTGCATAGGTTCGGACATGCAAGTACTCCCATCTGCCCCACTTGTGCTGGTGTCGAGGAGACCGCCGAACACGTCGTGTTTGCCTGTCCACGTTTCGAGCCAGTATCGAGCGCTATGCTAGCGATTTGCGGAGCGGATACCAGTCCGGATAACATCGTTCATAGGATGTGTGGTACCACCGAGAACTGGAGCGCGGTGGTGACTGCGATCACCCACATAGTTTCGGTATTACAACGACAGTGGCGAGCCGAGCAGCAGTTACCTACTGCCCGACCAGATCGTTAGAGTATTGCTAGAGAGGCGCCATAGCGCTACAGCGGCCCCTCCCACGAAGTAATGCCTTCGGGCGGTTCCGGGGAGGTCAAGGGCCAAGCGCACAGGGTAAGGTTTAGTGGGTCGGGAGTGAAATTCTCCCATCCCCACACCCTAGGTTCCTTCTCAGGTGTCTGTGAGCAAATTCCCCCCTGTATAAAAAAAAAAAAAACAGTGAACACGCACATGGGAAGAAGGATATTAAACACGCGCTAGGAGATAGAATGGGAAAAAGTAAAGGGAAAGAAACAACAAAAATCTAGGCCTATAAATACAATACGAATGTAGGGAACTAGAGCAACAATAAAACGCTTTGTGATATAATTGCGTTGAAATGAGAGTGGAGCTTTATATTATGTAGAACTATACAAATGTTTCCCAATAAACGATTTCCGTATCTATACACTGAATGTAATCCGTTGTATATATTTGAATGTTATTTGGTTAATTTCTGTTAAGGTTTTCATGTTGCTCCGTGTTCGATATTAGTTTCTTTTGGAATTTGATGTTACTGGGAGGTCAGCCCGTTACTGACCATTTGATTGCTTTCTATTCGGAAACGGGTCAGAACTTGGGATTTTGAGGCTGGGCCGGTGATGAAAAACCCCGCCAAAGAGCTTCTGGTACTCGGTCGTTTCTATTGATAACCTCGTGTACGTGTTTTGAAGATTAGTGGCATCCACACGTGTCACGTGAAGTACAGTGGACGTATTTAAGTCGGCCAGTCAGCTTCCTTCCCCTTTTCGGGAAAATTGATCCTCCCCTAAGGAAGGTCTCATAGCCGGGCAACGCATTAACTTGTTGGATGGTCTCCTTTTGGAGTGGCGCATAAACCATCCAATTATCAAAAAGAGGAAGCTCGACAGGCTGGCGGGTTACACACCCCAGCAGACCTGGGTCCAATCCCAGTCGGCGCCGCCGGGATGTTCTGAGGCATAACATCTCTGATCACGCCTTCCTTCGGAAGGGAAGTAAAGCCGTTTGTCCCCGGTTCATGAGTTGATGAGTCGATAAGTAGGGTCCAGGTGTGGGAGCTGCCAGCATGGAAAACAAATCAAGGAAATAAAAAAAAAAGATCTTGATTAAGCAATTTTCATCTGGGTACCTGAAGACTGAACTGCAGTTTTGTAATTATGTTGAATTTCACTCCGACACACGTTCTAAATGAGGATTAGTTTTTTGGCTGTTCCACCTAAAACAATATACGTCAAACGCTGCCTGGTAAACAAACCAAGTTCTACGTAAAGCGCATGTCAAATTATAGTGGGTATGATGGAAATTTAATGTAGGTGCGATAAATTTAATTTTTTTTAAACTTTATTAGGGAGATTTTTAGCCTTTGGCTAGTTCATCTCCAACATAAATTTAAATGTATTTCAGTGAAAATTAAACCAGTCGTGTGAAATTAAGTAAGAATAATTCTAATTATTAATTAAATACAATGTGTTCGTAATGTGCATCTTTTAAAATGCAAAAATGTATGCGATATTGCATTACATTAGAATTGGTTCAATTGCTTTTCGAATTACATCCAAGGTTGCAAATACTCATTTCAGCTAAAACAATGTTTTTTTTTATTATGAAATAATTAGATGCTATGATCATATTTTGAATTGGTAAGGTACAAGAAGAGGTTGCAAAGAATGCGTTTGACATATTAAACCTTCATGAGAGTCACAATCAGCGATTTTTCACTGACTCACTCACTCACTCACTCAGCGATCAGCAAATCGCTGATTATGACTCATAGAAAGCAAAATTTACAGGTTTTATGTTTCAAACGCATACTTTGTAACCTCTTCTTGGAAGTTACAAGTAAAACATGTTATCATACCATTTTTTGGATTTATTATTCTGAAAAACATTATTTTATCTGAAATGAGTATTTGCAACCTAGATTACTAACGTTAGTTTTAAGTAATTTTGTTATCTAAACAATGAATATCGGCTCCGCAAAGCTACAGCAAATGAGCCTGGAAAAATAAACGAATTATTAAAAAAAAAAAAAAAACCTAGATTACATCACCGTTAATTTTCATAAATTTTTGCTGTGTATTATGTCTGCAACAAGCGAGAAGAAGCTTGGAAGTTTGACAGTTATGAACCCGGCATGTATCCACATCAGAACAAAGGGAACACCAGCGCTATTCTTCTTCTATAGTTTATTAGATATATTATTCATATCAAATAGTTTAGTCTGCAGACTTCACTTTCGAGTAGATGCTTTAAAGATATATGTTTTTTTTTGTTTATTCATGGATTTCTGTGGTTCATGATAGTGCACGCTAGGTCAATCACGGAAATGCCATGAGAAGTTAAATGCATCCCACAAAGGCTATGTGCTCTACGCAGATATGTGCTAGGATAAATAAGAGTGCACCTTCACGGATCCTCATTGCTTCATAGCTACGCCATGTTTGGCAAAAAGAGATCGCTACGGTCCACTTTTTAATGAACTGTACTTTCTTAAAATGCACAAAGAAAACAACCTCCAGAAAAGGCAGTGATGTTTACAAAAGACACTAACTCATTTCGTAACCACGTAAGGCCTTGAGAAATTGAAAGTTCATTCTTTGGTAAGTACTTACTCTGCTCACGATTAAACCCACATTCCCCATTCTCCATAAATGGTAAACAAAACAGCACAAAACAAAAAAAAACCTGTTCCTGGTAAAAACCGCTCATAAAAGTGAAATTTGGCTCAATTCCCAGTGCCTCCCATACAAAATAAAAAGGAAACAATCAGACAATCACTTACTCATTTGTATCCCCATTCTCCCCCTCATGGAAATTTAAAAACATCCAAACAAAACAACAGAACGCACCCGATCCCGAACAGCAACTTTCGAAATCGGTGTCTGGTGCCGCAGAGTGTCACCGCGACCCGATCGCCAAGAAAGAAGAAAGGAGATCAGCTGAACGACCAGTTCGAAAAACAAACAATCAAACCCTGCAGAAATTAAGCCAATCGGCATAAATTAAGGTGTGTGCGTTCAGACACACATTTCCCATCGTGCTCCTCCGATGAACGGTACCACCAACAGTAATGAAGTGCGCCGAGCAGAAACCAGTTCTGAGCTGTGCTGTGTTTCGGATTTTTTATTTTGTGTGTTCGTTTTGTTTTGTTCGCCGGGTTCGTCGCCGTCGTCGTGTCTTCGCTCGGAGGGAGCAGAACGGAGAGTTCATTGGCCCAGTTTTGCTTCCTGGGTGAACTGAGTGGAAGAAGAGCGAGACGAATCGCGTAAAAGGCACTCGCGATAATTGGAGCTTTCGCGGATGGTTTTTTGAATGTCACCCGCTGTCATCTGTCAAAGATTGATTGTTTTGGATATTATTTTCTTTAGCGAGCGGAATAAGATGGTTGGGAGATTTCACTTTCTTCGGTGTTGTTGTTGTTGTTGTCAAAATAAGTATGGTAACTGTGCACGGAATGAGTAGGTGGAGGATTTCTTTCGATCAGTTCCGGTAAATAAGTTTCGCAGTACTCGATTAGAGGTTATGTTTGCAAATTGTTTGTCGTTGTTTTTTTTTCTTCTATTTTATTTACAAGTGGTTTTCACAAGTATTTCTTCTTCGCGTATTTTCCTCTTTTCTTTTTATCGAGTGTAGGTGAAAAGTATGAAAATTGAAACAACCAATATTGGGTAGGTAGAGATTTGTGAGTGTGAGCAAAGATTGGAAAAGATTTGTTACAGAGAGCAGAGGAGTTGAGGTTTTTATTTTGGGGAAGAAACGGCAGATGTTGAGTGTGGAAAAAAAATGGAAAGAGCATCATTGGTACAGATATGCACAGGAAGATTACTACTATTACAAGAAATGAAATCAGAGTTAATAACAGTACCCATTTTTTTTAGAGGTGGCTTTAAGTGGCTCGCGCGCGCATTCGGTATGGTGCTTTCTCCGTTTTCAGACCCGTGTACCATTCCGGCTATTTGTCCGGCCGGTTCCCGGTAAGTTCCGGACTGGACAAAGTGCACGGAGAGCAGGCACGGCAGATTATAAACGGTGCAAGCATCTCTGGACAACTCCCGTTTCGGGTTCAATGATGGTGCCGCAAAATTGCCTTCAACAACGTGAAAATTAAGATATCCGACCTGTCTGAAGGGGGACGTCGGTAAGTGGTAAAACGGGGTAAAAAGCACACCGTTTCGTAGATGAGTATGGAAGGTGAGTGTTTTGAATTGGGCACGGGCGGAAGAGTGCCCGTGGTTGTTTCGTAGAAGAGCATGAAAGGTGAGTGTTTGGAATTGGGCACGGGCGGAAGAGTGCCAAGATCTAGATTCAGATAGAAGATGAGTTGAAATAGATGGTGTGAAGGAGAAAATTTACGCCACTTGACGACGGGTTTCCCGGAAATTGGGTGTCTCTGGTTGGGTTTGGCCATTGCAGGACCATGAGAAGAAGAAAATAGTTTGTGAAATGTAGCAGCTAGGATAGATGAGCTTCGTTCCAGGTAAGTTAGCAATATTATTTCTATTTTCAGCTTTCTCTGACACTGATCAAATTACCTTAATCAGCCTTGCGTGAGAGTTAAAATATAGACTAGAATGTGTAAAAAATAGATATAGAGATTTACAGAGCTCGTGTGTGTGTGTGAGCAGTGGTGAGTCCCTCTGAAAACGAGGAACTGCACCGTTAGGAATGTGGTTTCTAAGTAAAGGCAGATGAAGGTGTAATATCGAAAGGAAGGGTAGAAAGACAAGAGAAAAAGATCCTAATCAAGAAAACAAAAAAATCTCAACAACATTTTGACATGAATCTCGTTAATGCTAACAATAAATTAATCGCTCGAACGAAAAACGCATGGTAATAAATAATTTCAATAAATTAATTTGTCTCGTTCTCTTTCTTCTCCAGGCTTACGCATGGTTCAATGCAGCCATCCGCAGGGCGGGGCGGGGTGTGATGAGTGGGATTTCTCGGATGTGTAAGTGCTTGCAGAAGCCGATCAGCTTCCAATATGGCGCCTCACTGGTGACTTTCGCTTACTTTCGGACGGGCTTGTGTCCGGCGTAGGCGATCGAATGGGCAGGCTGGCTGTGGGAACCATAGTCACCATATCCGCTGGATTCGGCCCATCCGCCGGACGATCCGTGGTAGGCGTGGGACTCTTCCTTCTTGCCGGACAGCAGCTTCTTCAGGAACAGGAATTTCGACAGGATCAGAGCAATGATGGACACGATCAAAGCCTTCTTGGCGATCAGAGCGATACCGAACAGAGCCAAGATGGCCAGACCGACGATCTTCAGCTTGACGAGTCCGAGGATTGGCAGCAGCGACTTGAGGAGCTTCTTCTTGCCACGGGCTTCCGAGACCATGGAGCGCATGGAGGTCTTGACATCCTCCGGGATGACGGTCGAGATGCTGCGGGCAGCACTGGCCATGTCCAGGTTGAGCGAACGCTCCTGGAGGAAGTTCTTCGTACGCTCCACCACGTAGTTCTCCAAGGCTTCCTCGCGGCTTTCGACGTTGTTGGCGGACTCGATGATGGCATTGTCGGCGTTGAACGAGCGCGACTCACGGCCGGCAGGCTTTACGAAGGAAAGACCTCCGGCGAGGCTGATCTGTGGCTGGTCGAAGAACTCACGGGCCTTGCGGTAGAACTGCGGATGGAAGAGTTTGGATGAGGTTAGAGGGTTGCGGTTGTTTGCTGAGAGTAGTAGTTTGGTGTGGTGAACAGTTTAGTATTGGTGGATTCGTGATTTTGATTATGATTCTCGGAGAAAGTCTCCTGAATTCGATGGGATTAGTTAGTTCCTGATGATTACTGTCACGCGAAGAATCAATAGTTCAATCATAATTAACGCATTGAATATTGGTTTGCAGCTGTTCGAGCAGACCTAGACATTCCTAAGCGAAGAAAAGTTCCTAAGACTGCTTCTAGATCACGGCAGTTTCGATTAAAGAAGTCGTACTCCCATGACTCCTGTTCGATTGGTCGATAATCCTAACTCGTGAAGCTAGTTCATTTTAACAGAGCAATAGTTTCCATCATTAAAAATGCGACAGATGTCGCCGTCACCACCAGTTTTGCGGTTTGGAGATTTTTGAAAAATCATGGTGGTGAGAGCTGTCAGAAGCAGCATGAAATACCTAATTGTGTTGTGCGAAAAAGTTATTAAGCCAATAGTTCTGTAAAGGCTGAATTCCAATAAGCACTCGAAAATCTAAAACGAAAAGCATTCTTAAGAGAGCATTGAATTTAAACTACTTTTATCTTTTCGAACTTAACCAGCAATTCTCAATCGTCCGAAAATTTTACATGCATTGCATCGTCCGAAAATTTGACAGGCCTTGTATTCATTTTTCATCTGCTTCTAGTGGTTTGTAATCCAATCCTTTTGAGCACTTGGTCATAATAACCGCTCTGAATGATTGGTGATCATTTTTCAAACAAATCCGATCGAAAAATGGCACTCCAAGGGTATGCTTGATGAATTAGAATAGAGCTAGTGTTTCATTTCTTCTGATTAGGGTACAGAACTGTCAAAGATATGTTTTCATCGCATTGACAGTTCTCGCGGATCATTTGAAAAGGGCTTTTAAGCTATTGTAAACAGAAAATGTACATGAGATTTGGTCGTAATTGCTTTTGTAAACAAAGACGTCAATTGCCGATTTCTCTTGAATTAAAGCTCAATCTCATAAATAAACTATACCAAACGATAGAGGAATCATTCCTCTACCTCAAAGCGTTTTTAGTTTTTGAAATTGAGCTTTTATTCGCGAGAAATCAGTGATTTACCTGTTTGTTTACAAATGAAATTACGCCCAAATCTCAAATCACTCCGGAGTTTCACGTATCATTTGAAAAGGGCCTATCAGCTATTGTAAACAAAGCATGTTTTGGCAGCTTGCATATTTTTTGGCAGCGGCGGCAGTGCTGGTTCATTTTTTTTAAATTCAAGTGAGTTGATCAAGTCAGTTGAATGGCATGGTTTACACGTTCAATTCGCGTTCAAATCAGTTGAATTCAACAGAATTGACCAATTGACTTGCCCTGTCTAAACCCAGCTTAATTGTCAATTTAACTCGCTCGGAGTCTACGTGAGTAGATGAGTCAGCACGCTTAGAAATGGTGGTATATTCAGGTCAATGACAGGACCTCAAGTCTAGAACAACATGTGAAAAGGGTCTATGAGTCAAATGTAAACAATAAAGCATTTTGACGTTTAATCAACTCACATCCAGCAAGAAGGAAACATATTAGTGGGAAACTAATGAATGCATCCCCGTTTACTAGATATCGAAAGATGATTATGCTTCAAAAATCTCTGTGGCATTGAACCTCAATGTCGCACGAATCACAAAATACGCATGAAAATTAATTACACTATCTGATTGAGGAACCTCTGAAAAAAAATTACGTTTGCTTACTGAGAATCTGCAAAACATTTCTGAGATTCAGCAATCAAACATTACTTTTGCTGAGATCTCAGTAAAACTTATTGCCGATCTGCTCGGCGGTGCCAGAAAAACTAAGTAGGCCCAAAACAGCAAAACAAATGATTTTGTTCCGGGACATGGAGGCTGATGTCAAACTGTGTCGTTGTTGTAGTCCCTACCAGTTGACTTGATAAACTTCTCTCAGAGATCTGGCAGCATGAAATTAACCACTACTCGCTGAACGTTCAATTGAACAATCTAAATCGGGCTTTATAGTCAATTCTTGATGTTCCTAGCGTTGACAGACGTGAGCACAAGACACGGACCCAATTATCTTAACGCTCATGGATCGATTCCAGTCTGCCGCATTTGATAGTCAAAATCCTAGTACTACACTATGTTTGTTTTGATTCGCTATGAAAGTTTGACGAATAAAATTAGAGGTTCGTGGATTGTCCTATGTTTCGAGGGGTGAATCGATTAGCTTGGGACCGAAGAGAGTACCAGGGCTGAGCCAAAAAGTTGAGCACGTTTCTTCGGGACCTTCTGGTCTTAGAGTTACCTCTATGCTATTACTGCAGGTAACCTCGGAATTCTGATAAAGCGTGGTGTGTAGACTAAACCTGTACGTCCACCCAAAATCGGGTTCTGTTCAATCGAATTCGCCAAAATCGCGGTCACTCATAGACGAGTGCATTGATGGAACTGAGTTCATGCAGATAAAAATGTGACAGAAGAGAAGATAGTGAATATTTAGTGTTAATATTTAGCAAGCTTTGCCCCGCTCTCTTGTCAAATTTTCGTCAGTGCATGAGCTAAAAATCATCGGTCCATACACTGCGTAAATCATTTTCGTATTCAGGCAGATTTCTGCTCAAAAATGAGTGAAAATTTCACTCAGCCTATGAGTGATCGTGATTTTTACGAATCTGAGTAAACGATACTCAAATCGGAGTGAGATTCAACGGCTGTGTAAGAATCCAATTATTAGGCCTGTTCCCTTATTCGCTTTTGATGTAAAGTGCTGCATCTTTCTGTAAGTTGCTGTAAGAAAATAATTTGCTGCAGAAGGTACGGGAACATTTTTTTTTTGCTTTTTGCTGTACAGGATCTTACAAAAAAGCAACAGGAACGGGAATGGGAACAGACTTATTATTTTGAACGAGTATCATTCAGTTAAGGAATTAGAAAGCCTTGAATTTAGAAAATTTGAGTTACGGTTATTAAAATTAAAATTTAGTGATTCATGGGTTAAACATTTTTTTCTGGATTTCACTTATTTCTGCCCCAAAGGGGAGTGAAATTAAAGCATATAATATTTACAACTATTTTTTTCAAATGCGTTTACTTATTTTTTTTCTTTTCGATTTGTTTTTCGTCGATCTGTTTTCCGTACTGAGTGCCAATGCTATCGGCGCAAACACATCTGGACCCTACCTACACAACCTGTCGACCCAGCAACTCATGGACCGGCTTTACTTTCTGCGTTATCAGAGATTTTATGCCTAAGAAAATCCCGACGGCGCCGACTGGAATTGAACCCAGGCCTTTTGGAGTGAGAGGCAATCAAACTTACCACTACACCACGGACGCTGCGTTTACTCAAACTTGCAAAGACGCAATTTAAACGGCAAATGAAACTGACTCATATTTGAGTCCCGTTCACTCAAATTCTCAAAAAACGTATGTCACTCATAGAATGAGTAGATTGTCACTGAAATATGACTGAAATGTACGCATATTTGAGTAAAAATTTACTCATTCTATGAGTGGCCTATGTTTTTGCGAATTTGAGTGAGCGGGACTCAAATATAAGTTAGATGCACTCGTAGACTAAGTAAATTTTCCTTAAAAATCTGCATGAATAGGAAGAAAATTGATTAAAAATTTATTCAGTCTATGCGCCTATGAATAAACTTGGAGACTGAGTAAATTTCCCTCGATTTTCCTCATACTCACGCACATATTTGACGAACATGAAGCTTTTATTTAGTCTATGAGGGAACTGCGTTTTTGCAAAATTTAGCAAACGGAACTCAAATTTCAGTCGAATCCAACGGCCGTGCAGTCTAGAGTGATCGTGATTTTTCAAGAATCTGAGTAAACAGAACTGAAATCCGAATGAGATTCATCGATCGCGAAAGCATACAAACATAATTTTGAACCATAATTCAATAAATTGAGTGTCATTCAGTAATGGTATTAGACAGTGTCCATTTTGTAAAATTGTGTATATAGGCCTCTCGTGGCCAGCATGTAAAGGCCAGTATGTGATTGACATAAAACCTCTTTATATCACATAGGGTTAATTTCCCTAATGTCGGCTTAACCCAGGTTTGGTTTTATGAGATTCTGTAGACCATTATTTAAAATGTCTTTAATATTGGGCACATATCGAGAGGGCGACTCTGTCTAAGATGCAGAGAAGATTTTGTTTTGCTGTCGTGAGATGCACGCGCGATGAGTGGATAGGTAGAAGATTATGAAGAATTTGTTGATTTACAATGAGATGGAAGTCGATGCAAGTAGATGGATTTAGATGCTTGAAATGGAAAAAAAGATTTTTCGTAGATTGATTCGCTAGTGAGAGATTTTTCGAGCATCTAAGATTGAGATTTAGATGGGTTGTCTCCCTCGGCCCATACATACATTCTGCAAGAATGCATAATGTTTTAATAGTAATAAAAAATGTCCTTTTATATTGTTTATGCGACGCATTGTTTTACGAAAAATTTAAGAACAGGAGATTGTTATCGATGGGACCAATCCTTAGAGCCATTTCCCCTATTAGCCTTGAAAAGGGCAAATTTTCATAGCAAATTGAATAGAGAGCATTTCATCAAGTATACTATGATGCGATTTTAGGTTAACTAAGAAATATATTATTTGTAATATGAACTTCATTAAATATGCCCAAAAATTCATGTGACTGGCATCGGATGAATGTGAGTTCCAACTCTATTTATGTTGCAATTAAGCAGTTCCTGGTCAAATAAAGATTAAATTAACAAAGTTTTGGGGCTGTTCACTAGGGGCAATAAACCAAGATTGTGCTGGAATTCAGCCATTTTGACTCAGGATTGAATTCCGAAAATAATGTATTCGATATTTTTCAATAAATCGTTGCACGAAAGCAGCCCCATCTAATCTAAATGACGTCTGACCCAAAGTTGTAGGAAACCGGAATGCCTTTTCACAAAGAAATACACGCTAACATATTTCTGTCATTAAAAGAAAAAAAAACCCTGTTAAAAACTTCAATAAGTACATTTTAAAGATTTGTTAACTTATGTTTATTTGAAAGCTTGTTGAAAATGCTAACTTTTCAGAAATGAACACAATGGTCACTTCAAAATGGTATACCATGTAACACCATGTAACAGATGGATCTCGAAGATATATAACAATTTCAGTTAAATCACTCTATTGATACTGAACACCTACTGAACATGGCACACAAAGTATAAAATTCAAAAAAACAGCACATTTCCTGGCATAAATTCTAACGAAAATCATACCAAAATAAATACTTCATTGAAATTCCCCCAGCCATCCCAGTTGTGGCAGGCACGTGCTTTTAGAATTCACCGAACCGGAAGCATTCCTCGTAATTAAATCCAAAATGCATTGCCCTCCGGCGCGAGCCCGCCACAAACGCCGCAAAGATGGACGAAAACTAATAAATACATCACTTCTACAAGCCACTTAATGTCATGCATCCATAATGTCACCCACAACACTGCAAACCGCTAATTTTCAATGTAAATTGAATGTGGTTGGTATGCATCTAGGGATTCCATTTTTTTTTTGGTTTCGTGTTCGTTTAATGGACTTGTCACCACCAATCAATGTAATTGCGCTGTTGCCGGCAATCAAACAATTTTACGACCACACTGCTCCGCCCAGATATGTGGGTGGTCTCGGTTTATGTCCAGTTCACTAATTTCTGTCCATCGTTTTAATCGATCACTCATTAATCCACCACGGGGTTTTCACCCTCGACAAATGATCCTCTCACTGTTCACATACACACGCACACAAGAAACGTCTCTGTTCTGATGGAAATTCTTCCACAAATCCGTACCATCATCTGCACGCAGGAGATCGAATCCTTGTCCAGGCATTCCTTGAAGTTATCCTGAGCGGCGGCCAGGGCGAACACACTTAGTACACAAATCAACAGCTTCATGATTGTAACAAAAATAATCCTTCGATCACACTCGAACTACACTCGCGTTTCTTAAACGATTTTCTTATCTCGCTCGCTTCTTCAGATGTTCATCCGAATGGAACTAAACTCAAATTGACAATTTTCCTCTCGACGCCGAGGTGTTTATAAGCCCGCGTTCGACATTTCGCTGCCAGCCCGAGCCGAGCCTCCCCCTTCCCAAAAACAACCGGCCATGGTCTTAGGGGGTCTTTCGAATCTTTCACTCTCTTCCCTTTCCTCACTCGCACACACACGCGCTCTCTCTAGCTCTCTTCTTGTGTTGGATCCACCACAATCCCCGCACGGACCCAGGCTCTCTGTTGTTGATGCAGTCTTGTTGGGGCCGTAGTAGGATTCTCTCGCCATGTGCCGTGCGCCGTTGCGAGAGGCTTGCACGCATAAGCCGGCTTTCAACCCGAGCGAGGGGGTGACCGAATGCCAAAAAAAAAAACGCTTGCAAATATTTACTCACCGAGGATCATGATGACGGTGATGATGATGATGAGGGTTGAGGGGATGACGAAACACACATTATGGGGAGGGGGAAGGTGCGAAATTCACATCCGATTACACACTCGCTTCCGCCGGCCCGGGCGCAGCGCACCCGGATCAAGAGAAATTAATCAAATTTTAAGGTATGATAGTTGAGCTTTACCACAGTTCAGACGACGGCAAGCCAGAACTGGTTCAAGAAGGTATACAACCATGGGAGGAATAAAAGCTACTACAGACTGCGGTGACGAAGTTTTGCAGGATGTTGTCAATTACGTCGTTGAAGGTAATTTTGTCGTCAGTGAAAGGGAAAGGGAAATTGGGCGATTTTGGCAATTCAGGAAAAATGTTACGGATCCTTACGCAACTAAGAAAAACGGCCTAATCACGTTTTAGTCGACGATCATACTTTGTTGAAAATATTCGATTGCCGAAGTTAAGCAACATCGGGTGCGATTAGTACTTAGATAGACCGCTTGGGAACGTCTTGTGTCGTTGGCTTTTTTTCGGGGGCAGTTTGGTCACGTAAGAAGTTAATTTTAATGATATTATCTTCTTTAACCGACCACCCTCAAGCAGCCGTGTAGCTTCGGTAGTGGTCGTTAATACCGCCTGTTTCGTTGGTTGAAGTCCATCACAGCTTAAATCAATCTTTAACATTAAAGAATAGCAGCGACAAATCTATGCAGATTAAGGCAACATGGCACATTCCATACAATAATCTTACTTTAGTAACGGAATCTTTTATCTAGGAAACCTCGTGAATCTTAATTTTGCTAGATTTATTATATACTAGCTGAGTGTCTAGCAGACAGACAGACAGACTCTGTTGTGGCAGTCAACAACGGAAACAAAGTGCGACGTTGCAATCATTTCAGAGCCATATCGAGTCCCTCTCGATAATGGTAACTGGGTGGCGGATATAGCAGGAATGGCGGCCATACAAGTCATGGGCAGGTATCCCATTCAACAAGTGGTGGCAATCCCATACGAAGGTTTCGTGATCGCCAAAATCAATGGAATCTATGTATGTAGTTGCTACGCACCCCCGAGATGGACAATTGAGCAGTTCCACCAGATGCTAGATGGGCTCACCGAAGAGCTCATTGGACGGAGACCAGTCGTCATCGCAGGAGACTTCAATGCTTGGGCAGTGGATTGGGGGAGCAGATGTACCAACGCAAGAGGGTATAGCCTGCTGGAAGCTCTGGCAAAGTTGAACGTCAGTCTGACCAACGAAGGAACCATCAGCACCTTCCGCAAAGATGGTAGGGAATCCATTATCGACGTCACTTTCTGCAGTACGTCGCTAATGGCAAATATGAACTGGACAGTGTGCGAGGAGTACACCCATAGTGACCATCAGGTGATCCGGTACAGTATCGGCGAACGAACACCGGTGGAAATGCGGAGGACGAAAGTAAGCGAGCGGAAGTGGAAGACAAAGGCATTCAATAAGGATCTCTTCATCGAAGCTCTAAGGGTAGACAACAGCGTCACGGGCCTAAGCGCGAACGAGTTGACCGAATTATTAGCAAGAGCATGTGACACAACTATGCCGAGAAAACTGGAGCCAACGAACAGGCGGCGTCCAGCCTACTGGTGGAACGAGGAAATTAGCACCCTCCGTGCTACTTGTCTTCTAGCCAGAAGGCGTGCTCAGAGAGCAAGAACAGAAGCAGACAGAGAAGAGCGCAGGGTGGTGTTCCGAGAGGCCAGGGCTGCAATGAAACGAAAGATAAAGCTGAGCAAGTCAAATAGTTTCAAGGAGTTGTGCCGCGATGCCGATGCCAACCCCTGGGGCAACGCATACCGAGTTGCGATGGTGAAGATCAGAGGCCCAACGATGCCGGTTGAAATGTGTCACAACAAGCTGAAAGTCATCGTGGAGGGACTTTTCCCACAGCATGACCCAACGAACTGGCCACCTACACCATATGGCGAGGTAGATGAAGACAACGTTGAACAAGTCTCCAACGAGGAACTCATAGCAGCAGCGAAAGGTTTGAAAGCGAATAAAGCTCCCGGCCCGGATGGAATTCCCAACGTGGCGTTGAAGGCGGCGATCCAGACGTTCCCGGACATGTTCAGGATGGTGCTGCAGAAATGTCTGGACGATGGTCAGTTCCCTGATAGGTGGAAGGTACAAAAGCTTGTGCTGTTGCCGAAGCCCGGAAAACCGCCGGGGGATCCTGCATCGTATAGGTCAATATGCTTGCTGGATACTGTAGGAAAGCTCTTAGAGAGGATCATCCTCAACAGGCTGACGAAATGCACGGAGAGTGAACACGGATTGTCGGAGAGACAGTTTGGATTCCGGAAAGGGAGATCGACGGTGGATGCAATTCGGACAGTGATTGACAGAGCCGAGAAAGCTTCCAAACAGAAGCGGAGAGGAAATCGATACTGCGCCGTGATTACGATCGATGTCAAGAATGCATTCAATAGCGCCAGCTGGGAGGCCATCGCCAAGGCGCTCCATAGAATGAGGGTTCCAGGCTACCTCTGCAGGATTCTAAGTAGTTATTTCCAGAACCGGGTCCTTGTCTACGTGACAGACACGGGGCAGAAATCGCTTAGAATCACGGCGGGGGTTCCCCAAGGCTCCATTCTAGGTCCCACGCTGTGGAACGGAATGTACAATGGCGTGCTGACGCTCAAGCTGCCCAAAGGAGTTGAGATCGTTGGCTTTGCGGACGATGTCGTCTTGACGGTAACCGGTGAGACGCTGGAAGAAGTGGAAATGTTGGCGGCCGAGGCGATAGATACGATTGGTAACTGGATGCAAGGAGCGAAGCTGCAGATAGCCCACCACAAAACAGAAGTGATGTTGGTCAGTAGCTGCAAAGCAGTGCAGCGGACAGAAATTACCGTTGGAGAGCACACCATTGCTTCGAAGCGCATGCTTAAGTATCTGGGAGTGATGATCGACGACCGGCTAAACTTTAATAGCCACATCGAATATGCTTGCGAGAAGGCGACGAAGGTCATCAACGCAATAGCCAGAATCATGCCGAACAATTCTGGTCCAAGCAGCAGCAAGAGACGTCTTCTGGCTAGTGTTTCCTCATCAATACTAAGGTACGGAGGTCCAGCCTGGATTGAAGCGCTGAAAACGAAGCAGAACCAAAGGAAATTGAGCAGTACGTTCCGGCTCATGGCCATGCGAGTCGTGAGTGCGTACAGAACCATTTCGATGGAGGCAGTATGCGTTATCGCCGGTATGATCCCAATCGGCATCACCTTGGCGGAGGACTACGAGTGCTATATGACGAGAGAAACCAGAGGAGTACGAAAAATGGTGAGAACGGAGTCGATGGCTAAGTGGCAGCAGGAGTGGGATGCAGCAGAGAACGGTAGATGGACACACAGGCTAATACCGATTCTTTCGACCTGGGTGAACAGGAAGCATGGAGAAGTCAACTTCCACTTGACGCAGTTCCTGTCTGGTCATGGCTGCTTCAGGAAGTACCTGCATCGGTTCGGACACACAACGTCACCCTTCTGTCCGGAGTGTGGGAATGTGGAAGAATCACCAGAGCACGTGGTCTTCGAATGTCCTAGATTTGATGGTGTGCGAGAGGATATGCTCGCCCTTAGCACGGAGAATGTCGTCGAAGAAATGTGTCGAGAGGAGGGCACCTTTAACGCCGTCAGCAGAGCAGTAACGCAGATCATGTCAGCGCTGCAGCGAAAATGGCGGGAAGACCAACTAGAAAGTAGTAATGTGCTCACACAAGTGCGAACTGAAAGCCGAAGCCGGGAGAACTCTCCGTCAGAGTTGGCTGTATCCACCACCAGGGATAACCGAGTAGAACGTACCGCTGGGAGCTAAATGGCTCACAAATTGGAGAGACGATCAGCGAACTGGAAGCGCCAATTAGCTGAGGTAAAGTGAGGTGCGTAATGCACGGCCCCCTCCGAAGTAATACGACAAGTGGTTCCGGAGGAAAAAGGGCAAGGCGTCTAAGGAGGTTTTAGTGCGGTAAGAATCCCACACACCGTGTCACCGCGACTGTGCGTCCAGTCGTCAAGCGGTGGCACAATGGCCTTTTTAAAGGTTTCCTCCTTTCCAAAAAAAAAAAAAAAAAAAAAAAAAAAAAAAAAAAAAAAAAAAAAAAAAAAAAAAAGACAGACGGACAGACAGACAAATAAGTGAAAGGACAGATAAGGCACTAAGTGAAATTCGAAACATCAATGAGAAGGACATCCTATAATTCCGAGATGAATGCAGAACTTTTTTGAAGGCCATAGTCATCAAACTGCTTGTCAGATCCCCGTTGACGTATTCTCTTACTAGAGCATGTTCATCGGTCGATCCTACAACTATTGCTTTGGACAAAGCTGTTGCAGAGCGGCGAATGGACAAGTTGCTAAGCATCCTTACAATCCACTGTAAAGTAAGTGGTGTTTTTGCAGATGCGGCAAACCGACAGTTTCGTACAGTGATCTGTCAAAGTAGTATCTTTAAAAACTACAACAGAAAACAAACTCGAGTGGATGTATTTTGGCGTGATTTGCTGAAAGATGACAATATGGAGCTGCTCAGGATTGTTCAAATGGTTTGCTGCTTATCACACGGAAATTCTAATGTTGAAAGAGGGTTTACCATCAATTC